GGATCTCCTTGTTTGCATTCTAGCATAGCTATGAAAAACCTAGATAAAAGCATGATGGTTAGAATTACACCGCTATGATTAACAGTTGGATTTCTTAATCACAAATTGGCATCCTTAGCATAGGCCTCACAGTTTGATCCAATGAAACCATCCAGTTTGTGCAAAGATTTGTTTCTTCAGGTTTTCTGAGCATCAGTAGGTAGGTGTTTGTGCTGGTACACAGATAGGCACATTGCTGTCAGTAATGAATTTCATCCAAGACGAAAATAAAAATCTAATTAAAGACAAGTTTCATACTGCTTTCCTGATCTAATGTGTGACAAACCACTTTGTGAAGATGTTTTATGTACAGGGTAGAGTTACACAGCAATAAGCATTCTTAGTTGCTTAGCAATATTGGTACATAATCTGAACAACTGTACAACCACTGAGAAGGTCAAGAACGCTCACAGAGGACGATATGTTTTAAAAAATTATAAAAATGGAAACATGTGCTCGTGACTATATGCAGACAATAGTTTTCCAAAGACTTACTGTTTTTACCAGAATATATTTATGAAAAAATCATATCACACAGTAAAATGCTGTCCCCTGTAAAATATGAATCCCCCTTGCAAACTGCATCTAGTAAAGGAAATACTCATATAATTTGGTAATAGAAACACAATAATGTATTTTGCCTAGAATTCCTAAAAACAAAAAGAAAACCAGGCAGCTTGGGTAATCCAAACAAATTCAGCCTGAGGCAAACACCTGCCATGCATATTTTTAGATCAAATGCATAAAGTTTGGCTAAATTTAAGGAGAATTTTCTTTTGAGATAAGCTTTTTCTTTCTGAGAATAATATTTTACCTATATTATTGTCTACTATATTATTTACCTATATTATTGTCTACTATTTTCAGTATGGTCCAGAATCTGGCCATTTGAATGGATCAGACACTTTATACTTAAGTATGTATTCTATATGCAGAATACATTTCTATTATGAATAATTTTGTAAAATAAAATAACATTTTATTCATAGACAGTCTTCTCATTCTCAGGGGTAAAAGAGAAACACCTGTATTCATATCAACTGAATCTCGCTATTTAAAAACAGCCAAGAGGAGAAGTAGGTTTTTAATCATACCCCAGTGTGATGCTAGCATGCCATCACTGTCCAGAACTGGTAATTGAAGCAGTCCAAATAGTATGTTATTAACTGAGAAAAAGCATCATGACTGAGTTCCAGGTGCTGTTCACTTTGTGTTCTTAATGGAGCCATGTGCCATTTGGTGTCTAAACAAGTGAAAACTTCTAGCTTTGGGTTCACTGTCAAATAGCTCTGCAATCAGTGTTATTCTAGTGCTGTGCAGCTAGACTCTGTAATAAAAGACAAACAGGTGAAAATTTTGGATTCCTGTGAACCACTAGACAGATGCAGTTACTTCTTTCTATTTGGGACTTTCTTCCAGTTTATCTGTTCTTTGCAATATAGATAATCCACACATAGTGGTAACAAGGTACTAGAAACAATGCCACTAAATCAATTAATTAGGCTTTAATAGATCTGAGCTTCAAATAGTATAATATTCTTTTTAATCCATTTTGATTCCTTTAAATAAGAAATTACAGGTTAAAATATTAGCTTAATTTAATTCATATTACTGCAAGTCAGGTACGGATTAAATGAAGTATCTAGATTTATTACAACAAAAAAGTTAAAGGTAAGAACAGATTAAGGTACCCTGAATCATAAGGTTCCTCTCTAGTAGGACAGTAATGTTCATTCATCCTTCTCCCAGATTTATCCTCATGTTATTTATGATATTAGTGCCAGGTGTAAAAAAGGAATCAAATAATTATGGAATCATATGATGTCCTCTGCTGTGAGTCACAGAGGGAACCACAACACCAGAGGGATGATAGTGAGGCCCCAAAGCAGAAGAATGGCAAGGGCAACTCCATGAAATCATTTATCTTCCCCAGCAGCTCCCAAAGGTGTCACTCTAGCAAAGCCATTGGCTCATTGATTCTTTGTTTTCAGGATGAGGACTAGGAGAAGACTGCTTGCTGCAAAAATTGTCCTTCTGTCCACCTGTATCAGCTGCAGCCATGGCAGATTCAAGAATGATAGAAACAAATCTTGCGGTTTCCTTTCCTTTTGAATCCCCAAAATCTGGAACTTGCTTATCTTTCTATTTCCTTTCTCCTTCATCCTCCTCTCACAGCAAAGCAAACATCAAAATCGAAGTGAATTTCACATAAATATTTGGCTACTGTATCTATTCTTACACATTGGCCACTGGAGATGGCCTTCTCTGCCAGCATTTGCCTCAATGAGCTCAGAATGCTAAGAAGCACAGCATGGAAAAACAAAGGAGTAAGCAACAATGCCATGTATTTAACTCATGCATGCCATGCCTTTGTAAGTCTCTATGTCTGACAAAAGATAAAAAAAAATCATGAAAAGCTAATAACTATATTATGACTAAGAAGCGCATCTGTCAGAACAGTATTGGTGCCTGTAGGGACAGGGAGAACATGACAAAGCCTATGAAATCTGCTTTTGGGTTAGAAGTGCTCTTTAGCTAAGTTACTTGAGATTTTTTATTTTTTTAAATCACTCCCTTTACTAGAGCTCTGCTGTTGATTCATGAATTCACTTGGCCCCTCCTAGGTTAGTGAGTTCATCAGTTTATTCTATGAGTGCAGGCAACATCATGTGATCAAGTTGCTACCTTCTCACAAACCTGTATTTCTGACCACATGCATAAATGTTACTTACGTTGCAATTAATATTGTAAAATAATAAATATCTGGGTTTGGCTCCATTATGTTAGGCACAATAAAATACTTTTGAAATATGGGATGCATTTCAAAATATGATATATAATAGCATCATCTATTATGGATTTGTAATTTTGGAATGATAAACACTAGCAAAAGTTGTACTGGACAACAGCTATTATAAACTGTCATTTTCTCAATAAATATAGCCATTTTCATATAGTTAAAGCTCAAAGCTTTTGAATGCCTTTTAATTCTTTCAAGACAAGAAATTGGACAGCCATCAAACTTGATGACTACCAATCCCTTTCTGTGTTTACTCTCAAATCCTTTCATATGCTCCCCCAACCACCATTTTCCTTATCATATACCAATGCAATAGATCTTGCAATTATTTTAACTTTTTACTAAATCAGGATTTTGATAATCCAAAGCTAGTTTTTTACTTAATTTGTTTTCCCAGGCCTGAAGTAGGTTGTTTTATTAATATATCCTAAGTTCTTATGTTTTGCCCCTCTCTCACCTGCATTCTTCTTCAGGCTTCAGAGTGGTAACAGAAAAAGTGAGATTTCAGAATGGTTAAAGTAATAGCAGACAGGCAGGAAGAGACAGATTTCAGGAAACAAAATAATTTTTTCAATAGATTGGAAGAAGCTCCAGTACTTAGAAAAGGTTCTTCAAACTGGAAAATGTACTATTTGGGTTCAGGTTTTGGCTGTGATTCAGATTTTTTTTTTTTTTCATTGAGTTTGTTTACCTTCCCACATGTTATTTTTAACATACACAGGCAGAACACAAAATATGTACAAGGATCTTCTTTATTATTTTACAGCCTCATTTAGAAAGATGCAGCATACTCAGAGCTTGCATGGAATCTAATGGGACTTACAGAAACTGAGTATCTCAAAAAAATCAGGCCATTAATTTCAAAAATGTGCATTAATTACTCTCTAGGCTGTAATAGCTCACTTGCTATTACTATAATCTACATTCTTTTGAAAAAGTATATTTTTCACCTGGTATGCCACACTTGCTCCTAAAGAGCAGTCATATCTTATAATGTAAAAGCTTCTTTATAACTGATCCAATTATTGACCCGTGGCATTGACCTTAATGAAATGTAATATTTCCAAAGGTATGGTACAATCCATTGTGTTGATCTGGTTGACAGGCATACTCTTGAAGGCTTCATGATAACAATAGCTATGGAATTTATCGAAATAATTAACTTGATGAAACACAAACCCATGTATTTCCACTAAGCAATGAATTATGTGGTTTAAATGTCCGTTTTCTAAATTACAGCTAGTCTATAGTATGCAGCAGCATTTGCAGATTTGCCAAAACACACAGCTGTTTTCAAAACCATTCTCTGGTAGATTTTCATATCTCTTTAAAACATTTTTGTTCTAGGCTGAGACCTGGCGCACAATATTTATGTGTTCCAAATACTCGCAGAAAAGGGAAAAACTGATTCTAGCCTTAAATGTGGATTGTAACAATCAGTACTGTTAGCCAAAAGTGAAGGCCTTCAGGTGAGTACTCCCACTTGGAATCAGTTCCCCTAGGATCCTTTGCACCAAATGCGTTTCCTAGGATAAGTGTCCTCTTTTCTATATGTCAATATAAAATCCTTCTTTTAAGTAGTGTCACTCTCAGCCACTGCATTTTGTGCAATTTAATGCTGTTAGATGCTTTCATGTCATGTGGTTATAGCTGGGTAGATTAATAGGAACTTCTATATGGAAATTTCTTTCCTGTTATTGTTCTCCCTGAGCAGTTGATGGCTAAGTTAATTCTCTTTAGTTTTGTCATGCACTAAAGCACACATTGCCAAGCTATGATAAGCTTTACACAGGAAAAAAAAAAAGCCCTTGTGTCCATCAAAGTCTTAAACTTGTATTTTAAACTTTAGCCTGACCTGATGTGCCATTCCAAAAAGCTTCAAAAGATTATTTTTTTAAGAAAGGTTCAATATGTCCTGAGGCTATCGGTTTTGAGTTAAACTGGGTGAAGTAGAAATATTTTACTCATCAGCTTTGCAGTCACAGAGTTTGCCTCAGCTAGAACAAAACTGCTGAGGCATTTAGAGAAAATTAACCCCCCATCCTGGCAGCCAGATGTGACTGGTTTCTGATGAATGCACATGAGTGGGCTGAAAAACCAAGAGACTGTGAAATTCCTGTCAGGTCCGTACAGCGCAGAATGGGCTATTGACTGCTTTCTATATTTCCCTCCATCATTCTTCTTGAACGCTGCCATTAATTTCCTCTCCTGCTCTGACTTGGGAATTTAATTTTTTTTCCAGTTGTTTTTTTTTTTTTTCTCCTTCCTCCCCCCACCACTTTCTGGCCTGTCCCCCCCAGGCTGACTCCCATTGTTGCTGTGTCCGTGGCCATCGGCATTGACGCTGCTGGCGTGGCCATCCCAGCTGCAGGGGCGATGGAGCGGGGCCATGCTGGCCGAGTGGTGGAGCATCTCCAGCGAGGCCTCTCCAGCCAGGCTGGGCTGGCGAGGATCCAGGCAGCCTCTCAGGAGAACGCTCAGAAAATATTAGCTGTGCAGGTAGGTGATTGCAGGGAAGTCGGAAAGATCATTCTGATCTAGATTGAAAAGCAAATGATGGGTAGTGTGATGAAGCATTAAAACCATATCCCATCAGAGTTTTATAAATTTTTAACCTCTTTAATAAACTGGAATTGCATGAAGGATGAATTCAGTAAGTTAGCACATATACCATGCATAGATTGAAAAAAGAGGGGGAGATTAGATTTATTTCTCACAAACCTTTGAGAAGATTATTATAAATACATTGAATATAAATATTTGAAACACAGAGTGGCACTGCTGTTGCTGCTCAGTTGTTTTAGAAGATGTTATTGTGTCCTGTTTTGTGCAAATATTATTTCCATGGTAAACACTATTGTCATTTTCACAGTATTCGTATTTAATATCTTTAGAAGAGGACAATTTTTAAGAAGTATTGCACTTTCGTAACTCAGTTATACAATAATTTTCCCTTATTTGTAAAAAAACAACATTGTGGAGAGATGAGATTTAAAAATGGTTTCCAACGATGTATGGTATTTCATTTTATGTCTTGTTCCCCAGATAAATATATTTATCAGGGAAAATAACTTACTATACAGTATAGTTTAAATGTTCGTTTATTTTTGTCTCATGCTATGGTATTTTATTTATATTTCTGTAAAGACACTCCTTTCAATATCTTCCATAGGTAATGGCCATAACCAGATGTCATTTGTGAAGGATTTTTAAAAGACTTAAGTGAAATATTTCTTCAGACTTATTCCTTACAAAAGAAGTCACATTGCTGGTGCAGCTTTAGGGCAGCATGTTCTTTCCATCTCTGTTGTCTAATTTTTAACGGTCAAGCTTTTTTTGTGTGAAACAATTTCACTGCATTTTAATATTATGTAATTACACTTCACACTTATTATCCAATGAATTAAAGTAAAACCTAACTTGAATCAGTTCTAGAATTCCATTAAGTTGCATCAGCATGACGATCTGTTTTCACCGTCTCACTGAGAGGATTTATATTTTGAAATTCCAAATTTCCATATTTGTTCTAGGGAATCATGTATGTTGTGCTATGTATGCTCTACTTATGTAAGAGATTTAGAAAATCCCAATGATATCATAGTCAGAAATTAAATATTAATAATTAAGATAAAAATATAATCAGATTTATACCTTAGTCATGGGTTTAATGGAATATGTTTTTATGGAATTCTATGGAATTTTGGGGTTGTTATATATGCCAAAATATTGCACTGATCTCTGTCCCAGTGAAAACATTTTTTTCATTCAAATTCCTCAATTAGCATTTGAAAAACTGTAAAAGATTCCTTTTTATTTTTGTAGGGGGATTTCTCAGATGATTTCTTTTCTCTCCTGTGTGCATAGGAGTGCAGAGGTGATCTGTGGCATCCCAAAGCTCATGATCAAAAGGGGTGACATAGAAGCCACAGGCGGCAGATGGTTTCCTCACACACAAATCTTAGCATTAGCCTAATGTTCCACAATATTTTAATAGTTGTACTGCAAACCTCATCTGCATTGGAACACTTCTGCCAGCAACCAGTCCTTGCAACAATGGATGACTGTGGCAGAAAACCTCCACCTTAGCACGCATTTTTCCATGCATGCTGTCCCTGTTGAGAACCCGTGTCAGCAAATCTTGTCACCCTGAATAACTCAGCTAGTTGGAAACAGGCCTTTTAGGTGTAAGACCCAGCACCACTCGGGGGTGTTCAGATCTGAGTAGCTCAGAGCTACGAGTGACAATGTCTTGTTCAGTGTGGAAAGCGTTCTGTTCCCTCTCTGCTTTTATCATCTATTACATAGGGGGTTTTTTTTATAATTCTGATTCTCTTCTGGTATTATGATATCCTTGCTATGTTTTTATGTGGTTTGACTGATGATAATTTAAAATTAAAATAATAAACAAAGAAAAAATATAAGATAGAAACTGAAGTAGTTACTCTAAGAGCAATTCCCAAGGTGTGTAGAGAAAAAACACTTCCCTTCAGCAATGTTCTGGTTTCGTATTCTGCAGGTCTTGGAAGGTGCTTAATTATGTATGGATGGGCGTCTTTGTAAATCTCTGTTATTGTCAGATCAATCTATTCATCTACCAATTAAGTTCTCTTATTGATAACATTAACATAGTGACATTCACGTCCAAAATAAAACCTGACAGTTATTCTTCTCCCTTTCTTGTCTCTCAGACAGAAGTATCCAAGCTTATTGTTCCTAGTGGCACTCCTATATTAAAGTATGAGGATGAGAACATGCTGCACTGAGAAGTGTGTGGCAAAGCAGTGATTCCTGCTCATCAGAGCTTCTGTCCCAGCATTTCCTTGACCAGAGCAACCAGAAGCAAGTGAATGACAGAGGAAGAGTGCATTAGGGGAGGCAGTAGATACAGTACATTGGCTGCCTAAGTGTTTTCTAATATTTTACAGAAGCCGTCACCTGGGTGAGATCCAAAAAGAGACTTAAAAGTAGATAATGGAGGAGGTTTTGGCCTTTTCACCAGGTGCTTTTTGTCTATCAACACCTTTCAGTTGTACCCAGCAGCAGAGTTTTGGGTGAACTGTGAAATGAAATTGAAGAGCTGTCCCAGAACAAAGACAGATTTGATCAGAGGTTTCATCATTATTTGTCAACACTATTGCTGTTTCGTGACATAAAAATACTTTAAAAAAAAAACCCACCTACTTTAATTTATTTCAATCAGACTTTTAAATGTGTAATTCCTGGGTTTTATAATGATCTCTTTAGCCATTTTGCCTTTTCAATATTTCATATTTGCATTGGAAACAGGAATAATTAAATTATTACCTAGTGTCAGTATGTTTCCTGAATGTACTCCTGGCAGAAAATGAAATTTTGACATTAAGCATTTTAATTGGGAACTTAAAAAAGGGATAAGATATTCTTCCATATTAATCGCAAAGAATAAATATGTTTGCAATCCAATCAATTGCGAGAACAGAGAACAATAATTGAAATTATTTATACTTAAAATTTTGGCTCTTTATATATCTCATTTTCTTTAGAGCAAAGTGCAAGGCTTTTCTTGAGTAAGACTATTTTATCTTGTAATACTCTACCTTTTTTCAAAATTTCTTAATTTTTTAAAAAATTCTTTAGTGCCTCTGATTGCAGTAGCAGAATTTAAGAGTTTACTGTCTGGAGATATTTTTTTATTTGAGAGACTGCACTAGAAGTGCCTTAGAAGCACATGAGCATGCTCTACTCTTTTTATTCTGGGACATTTACATACATGCACAACAGCTCTGAAAAGAGACTATTTTTTTTAATTGTGGTAGTCAAAGAAAGTTCAATGTACTCCAATATGGATGTACTTTTCAGTTGTTTTACCATCACTGTCAGCACAGTCTATGGTTTGCCAGAGGATTTCAACCTTCAAAAATCCTTCAACAATTACTAAATAAATTTTTAGTCCAGCAGAAAATAATAGAAACAATCTTTAATTTTGAAAAAAAAAATGAAAATATGTAAAACTTTTTGTACCTAGTGTACAGGAAAGGTATTTATTATGTTAATTACTTCTGCTTTTCCAACAATGCTTTGGAGTTTCAGTAACTTGGCTCTTGAGTAATTGCAAAAACTATATATGATGGCACACGTAGTTTTAGTTGGGACTGTGCCTGTGCTTTAATCCTGATGATCTTCAATGTAGACCATCTTTATGGGTGATTTATCTTGACTATAGTTATATCAGAATCATTTTGGGAGTCAAAGTGCTACAAGAAAAGATAACATCATTGCTATTCTCATTGTAACTTTAAAGGATTTCACACATACCTTTTCTGATGGTGGGAAGACAAAGGTACCTTTTTAATAAATGCAAGATTATTGGTTTAATTTTTAATGGATCAGCAGCTTTGATAACCATTCACACCAGCACAAAGTGATACCAAAGTAGATAATCAGAATTTAGAGTTTAGAAATCCCTCAGATGGTAGCAACTTTATCCATTTTTATCAGGTGGACACAGCTACATAAGGCATCAAGGAACAAGGCACCAATCAACCCCAAGTCTGTCACTGTGATTGACATTTACTGTGGTTATTAATATATTTTCTGCAGTTTTACTCAAGTTGCTTAATTAGACTGAAATCTTTAAATGTTTTGGGCAAAGCTTTTGGAGTTCAAAATAACCACACTGTACTGAACTACACCAGTTTACACCAGAAAAGTTTTGGTGTTTTGCCTTTATTCAAGCAATTTTGCAAATTCCTGCTAGGGAAAGGAGTGACTCTTCCTTACTAAGTCTTTGAATTTTTGGTGAATCTGCCACAGGCACCTCACTGGGTACTAATTCTTAATGGAGAAAATATCTTACTGACTCTGCAGAACTGTGCTCTTCAGGTCACCCTGTTCTACCTCCTTACAAGAAATTCTGTGCAGTTCCACTGAGGCCAGGAGCAACAGAAACCCTGTGTGCTACAAGCAGCTTTACCCTTTTGCTCTCTGAAAACCATACATTGCTTCCTAGCTGTCAGGTGGTAACCAGTTTAAGCACATCTTTTGTTCTTTAACTTATTAACACAGGTGTGTTATGGTGTCCCTCAGGGCTGACGCTCTTCAAAATCTGTATGCCTTCTCTTTTATTTTTCTCTGTTATGGGTTGAGTTATCACCATTTCTGCTGATTGCACTCAGTTGTATCTTTTTCCTGCTGATTTCACTTTAGCAGTCTTGCTGTTTCTGTCTTGTCTTGGAGACATATGGGGTTGGATGACAGATAATGTTTCTTAAGGGGACATGGCTACACACCTTTTAATTAGTTCTAAGCTTTTGTGTTTAGTCACATTTATCCATAATAACCACTTAAAATGTTGAAGCTACATTTTTCTGGGATAATTATTTATTTATAAATTATTTATTTTGTACAGGGCAGGGGAATTGAGACAAGCTATTTTTGCTTCTGCTCTTGGGGGTAATTCTTATGAGTTGAAAAATGTGTTAGTTAATCATGTTCTAAAGAAATGTGGAAATCAGCATCCA